GAGGATCATTGTTCAGTCACACGCCGTAAGACGAGGCAGAGTAATATGTTAGCTGCCTAATCGGTATTCAGCAAATAATGTAAAAAGTCGGTAAATAATTTTGATCCGAAGTCCTCGACGAATAGTAGAAGGAAATGTCGTATAAGCACACAGGTTAGCCTGCAACCACGCTGCACCCCCTTTTTAATTTTAAGCAATATATGTTTGATGCTAAGATTTTAAAACGGTCTTGTCCAAACATGGCGTCATGTAATCAAATATTTTTTAAGCCATTGTTGGCCTGATTATGTTTTCCTACTACACAGACGGATTTGGTATTCGCACTTTCCCCTAAGGGCCAAACTGCAGAGCCGACGTCTACAACTGTTCATATCTTCCGCGTTAGCTCATTGACATGACAGCCATAGTGCTTGCTACCAATAACGTGTGCTCACAGTTGCCACAGTCGCTGTGTCCCCCCTAAGTAGATTCAACCTGCTCCGCTAACTGAAAAATTGTCCCCCCCTCCACATAGTCTTTCTTGGGAGAATTGTATTGTTGATTCGGACTTTTTCTGTCGTCTGCAATGAGGTGGTTAATTTCAGGGTTAAAGGTCTCACCCACAGCTCCTTGGCAGTAAGCAGCCTAATTCTTCATCGCTTTGTGTTCTGAATAAATTTGGTTTTGCCGCCTCTTTTACCAACAGGACATGCCCAGATATGATTAACCAGGCACATTGACACGACATGTCCTAAGGGAAACAACTGCACTGAATAACGAAGTGAGATGTCAAGTCAACCTCTAGGCCTCTTTAAAGATGAATACTGGAACCCAACGTAAGGTTTCACTAAACCGAAGACACAACATTCAGTCACCAAAAATGGCAGCATACAACGCACAATCCCCGACCGATGAAGCTCGCAGACCAACAGTTGACATTTATTCAGATGTAAAATTCAAGAACAATTCAGGTGCTATGTCATCGTCCACACAAAGACCAGGACATAGCGGGTGCAATATGTAAAGAAGTGATGAGAATTCACCCTACAACGGAGTCATCCTTCGGTGAATGAGAGAAGTTACTAGACTATGAATCCTCCACAAAGGCTCATTAACTGCCTATCAAAGTGATGACTAATCGCGCAATAGGTTCCGAAGCTGCCAGCGCAGGCATTACTGGAAGAAAAAAGCTCAAAGCCAACCAGATCGCTGCTCGCTAATAGTGTACCGAGAAAAACTTGCGAAACGTCAGCAGCTGTGACGTGGAATCATTTCTTCTTAATTGATTTTCCAGGAACTCTGAACTTTACTACACGCAGAATAAGTGCAGGATGCTATGCGAATCAACTCATGTTGGCGATGACTGGACCAAACTGTATCCTCTGGATCTTTTCGACCAAGGCACTTAACTCCTTAAGTGAAGGCAAATTGATTAAGTACTAACATGAAATGAACTTGGAAAATCATAATAAGTTGTAAGCAAAGAAGCTTAAAACTCCATTAAGGGCAACATATTTTACCCGGCGTCAAACAAGTGTCAGTCTCTCTGGCTTAGAATTTTTATGAAGTATGTCCACTTACGGCGAACCTCTCACTTTATAGGAAATAACTATCAAGCGCACACTACAGTGCAGATTCTTGGTTTATCTCGACCGGATAGATTACTAACTGCAGCTTTAATATGACCTTGCATACTTCCCTTCTTAGATGAAGGGGTGATTGTTCTTAAATCAAGTGGAAGAGGTGTTGGTTGCAAAAGATCGCCACATAAAACTTACCCGTTTTCAAGTCCGAGATGCCAACCCATCGTTGGGATACAACCGGTTCGAGCTCTTGGACGCTTGAAAACCTGTACTGACATTACGGACAACGGAGGAGGGGGGAGTGTGTTGCGTAACTGACTGATGAGTGCCCATCACCAATTGTTCATATTTCCGATTGCATTCGACGAAAGAACGAATTCGTTGAGCTTCTGGTAGTCCGACCGTCCACGAGATCGAACCTCGGGTGCTGCATCATCTGGGGTTGTATATTGCGGGCTGATGACGGCTAAGGAGCAGAAATAAGCGTTACACTCGACTGTTTGTCGACCGTTTTAAACAGTCCCGATCGCAACCTACGAGATAACGAACTCGTGGCGCAGTGATTTAGACCTTTATACTACTAAACAACACGTCGTGCATTTCAACCTCGTATGCTATACCATCTGAGGTTGAATACGGCTGGCCGTAGGCTTGTTTGATTATATAAACTAACAAAAAAAATAATCAACTTCGACTTCGGCCGAGGTTTTTTCTAATCCCCTGTTGCATGTCGCCGATTTCTCACTAATTGAACCCGTCTGGCTCAACCATGTTTAGTCAATATTGGCCGTCAACTCGCATTTCGCCAGTAAATTACAGACGGACAGAAATACGAATCTTGTCCGGAACAGTTTTTTTATACTTCCAGAGAGGATTTCATTTCTCGTGAGGTTGTATCACTATTCCTCCATGCTATCATCCTCTTTTTTTACTATCGCTATTTGTAGATAAGATGCACTCAGCATTGGGTTTTTCCTAACACAGTAGTATAGTTATAGCTTTAATTGTCCTTCACACTACAGGTTAGATAGCGAGCCCAAAAGCACAGCGGGATGAATGAGCTTCGTAACCGAGCGTTGAGCCCCCATATACCACAGCCAAAAATACTGAGGGTTGCATGGGGTCTGTATTCGATACCGTTACACTCAGTGCGCCTCCATTGCCCTAAACTGCGGGACACTGCAAGTAAATGTTTGACGAAAAATCGGAAATCCTAGACAGTTAAATTTATGTTTCGAAGACCGCATTTTCTTTTTCTTGCCGATTCATTTGGCAAGACATAAGAATTGTTTCCCAAACTTCAGGCGGTAGTTTTGGGCGAGCTTAGTCCCGACTAACAAAAGAGCTTTTGCAAAAAATGACCCTCGCTATTTCCCTTAGTTACCACGACGAAAATTGTTGAAAGTTGCGTATTTAATATAGTTAGTACCCTTTGATTCGACTTTCATTCACACAACGCAATCCCCTGAATGGGCATCTACATATGCATACGGTCTGACTTGGCCAAATGTCTTCGTCAGTTAGTTGTAGACGAATAGCTGATGTGAATTTCATGAATGACTGTTTGCTGAAGGGCATCTTCTGAATCGGCCAGTGGACATTTACGGACACCCATAGACATTCACATTCACTCTAGCAGGGCACATCTTGACCTGTGATTTCGCACGGATTCAGTTCAAGTCGCCTGATTCTTTTCCCTAGATGGGACCTGACATGCGGTTGCTGCATGATATGCAATCAGTCATGGGTGCATGACCCCAGGGGAAACGAGCGCATTGGCGGACAGGGCATGGTTTATTTACTACCTTCAGGCGACTGCAGACGGTTAAAAGAAATAGGCGAGATTTAAGGTCACACAGTCAGCTTCCTATGATATTGACGGCCTGCATGAAATTGCGCATTCCTCTTCCGTCAAGGCTTGCAGCTCCGAGTGAAGGATTTTTTCCCCCGTTACCACCAACGCAGACCTTGATTTGCAATTAATTTAGAAATGTGCTTTCTTCTGTTTTTCGACCCTCAGTTTAGATGCGTTTATATTTTAAAAAAGAAAGACAAACTGACAGATCACGAGTGAAGTTGATTAAAAACAAAAACGACTTAGGCGCCAAAATGGCAGTCAATGATCCTCAACAGAAGGCGACGGCAGTGATTAATTACAACACGTTTTATTTCAAAAATCTTATGTGAAACTGTCGTAGGAGGTCATTGGGAAGAAGGGGAAGTTTTTTTTGGTTGGCCTCCTACAGAATTGCCTGGCCTCATATGAAGAGAGTGAAGTGTGCAGCGGAAAACCCGCATGGAGTCAACAAAACCGCGAATGCTGCGCCATCTAGGCGAGGAAGCCGAATTCTATTTGTGAACGAATGAGCGAATCGCACTGCAGAGCACTCACCCAATCAGAATGTAGTTTGGGCAACCAATGCATGCCCAGCTGTGCTTACTAAACTCTTCTACACTCGTGCGATCCATTTACACATATCCTCGTTTACAAGCTTCACTGCGGTGGGACACCTTAAGGGTATTTTCCTATTTAAACAAAACAGAAGTTCTAGCAACGGGTTATGAATGAAAAGTTAGTTTACATTGACACGGCTCTTCTTTTTATATTTGCTAATTATCCATGAATACTGACATTCGATTCAGGCATTTTATGCATTATCTTATAAATATCTTGCAATATATAGGGACTTCTACCCAACACCAATTTTGTTTCAGGGTTAGACTGCTCGATTCAAATACTTTGTTTCTAGAATAGGCCTTTCGAGTATATAATACATCAAAAACTGGCCGAATTGCAAAAAATTATTTTGTGCATTCACGGGTTTAGTGCCAACGGTCATTACCGTGACATGCATAATACACGTTTTTGTGGTACGCAGAATAAAAGGTTAGGATTGCTGATACGACCTTTAAACAGGAACCAGCAATAGAACCGCCACCTCCAAGTAATAAAGGCGGCTTTGCGCATAACTTAAGCTCCGAAGTAAACCACTAACTGAAACGTGATACATCTAAACCCTTATCTCACCCATAATTTTAAACCTTAACGTGAGGAAAACCTTAGGTGTAAAACTACCTATGCGATTCAAAAACCCCTCTTTGGCGAACAGTCCCTGTTCACATGCCCTCTTAAGAAGGTCCTAAAATTTGTTTTACTAAAAATATCCAGCATGTAGTTCGCGCTCTAGTTTGGCATATATACTCAAAGACCGGTTAGATGAATAGTTATGTTATTACCTCTATATAATCCAAATGCGCTTCAGTATCCTAGTCTACTTTTATGTGGTAATAATTTTTTTATAAGATCTCCAAAACAGCACAGTCATAGAAAATCTAAAGACACTCAATAATAAATGCTATATAACACCATATGCACTATATCTAATAAAATATGTTCTTACCTTGCAGGTGAATCCTGAAGATGCCGACAAACCTGCAGTTGGCAGCGTTCCTCAGTCTTCTCATACGGCATGTGCTTGGTATTTCAAAGTCAGCAACTACGGAGTCGCCCATTCGCACGAAGATCTATAACCTGAGTCTCACAATAAACGACAACTTTGATTCCTACTCCGAGTTCTCTCTCTACTACTTCCCAAATGTCATGTTGTTTGATCGTTATTTCACCCTGGTACTCTTCATTATTGGTTTTCCCGGCAATTTCATTTCCTTCTTTGTGTGGGCTAACCGCCGCATGTACCACGGAAACTCTGCTGCCGTCTACTTGGCCGCGCTATCCCTTAACGATACGGTCGTGCTGGCCATCGCGCTATTTCGTGACCTCACCAAAAACTGGGGTGTACACTACACACCCACGCCGGGATCCTGTGAAGCATTGGAATTGATCAATCTCACCACGCAGTACTCCTCACCGCTATTTGTGTTGGCCTTCACGATTGAGCGATGGCTGGCCATCTGCGAGCCCTTCCTGGTCAGCCGCATATGTTCTGTACGCAGGGCTCTCTACGTCTGCATCGGTATCAGTACTTTCACTCTGCTGGTCTGTTCGCCAAACACCTACCTCATAATGACCACAGAGAATGGCTGCGAAGCCCGAAATGAGAGCGTTTTTTACTTCACGACAACCCTGGAGATAATCTACTCTCTGTGTGCACCCCTGCTGGTGCTGACATTCAACTGCCTGGTGATTAATGAAATGGCAAAAATACGACGCTCGAGTGGAAAACTGAGGAGTGTTGCCGGTTTGAGTAACAAAACGCAGATTGGGGCCTGCCTGAGATCTTGCATGCTGGGTATTTTCAAGATCAAGCAGCGAGGCAATTTGGTTAATCGGCCAAACAACAACGGCAACCTGGAGACGGTGGCCCTAGCCACGGGGACGCAGGATGACGGCGTGGCTTTGAAGGTACCCTCGGTGAGCCCTCGAAGGGAACAGTCAGAGCCGAAGGCGGTCGCTAGGGCGACTGACTCCCCCAAATTCAGGTCAACGACCATAATGCTGTTGGTGGTCAGTTTCTATGTCATCATCGCAACTCTGCTGGGAGGTGTTATGTACCTGCTGGAGACCAAAGTAAACATGGATGCTTATGCTGACCTGACAATGTACGAGGTGAGTGTACGAATATATAGTTAAAGCACTTGGAACACGAATTATACTGTCGGAACTCATATGCTTCTTAGATTTTTACAAAATTTGTCATAAATAGGAAATAAGATTTAGACATACATATGAATATATGTGCTTTGCCGATCTAGTAGAGGAAAAATTAAGTTCCGCCTGCCCAGGTTCTTACAACGTGAACCCGTTAGACCGTCACCTACTGACGGTGATAATATGATGAAGCACATATATTTATCATATTCGCGATCTCAACCGACAAAGTAAGGAGCCGGTGGTGTCGTGGTAGAGTACAGAACTCAATGACCAAAGGTCCCAGGTTCAAATCTCGGGGCTTACAACCCTGGAGATTGGGTATGACTGGCTAAGGACAGCTAACAAACCAGAAATGGCCATTCCGGTATCCCTTTGCTTTGTCTGATCCACTTCATCACATATATATCAATCTTAAGAGGGAAGGAGGCATCTGCTAATTTCAAAGAATGGAAGGCAAAAATTAAGCTCTGAGCTCGTAATCAGTAATTAGTTTAAACCCGAAAGCTTTCTAGCGCATATCGTTCTTCCCAGATTACAGATAAACCCAAAGCCCAGTTACTCGTATTTAAACGTCTAATACAACGCTTTCCCGACAGAAGTGTGCTGACCGGCTTTATAAAAGACCCTGGGGTATATGTAAAGTTTTGACCGAAAAGTGAAAGCTATACGAGAGGCTGCTAGATATGATACCAAATACTTGCGCTATTTGTAACAGCTTGGCTGTTAAGAATTCTAAATATAATCATGTAAGATCGCGTACATCGTGGTTAAATAATCAAAAAATGAACAACATTTTTGTTATATATATACAGTAGTCGCCAGAAATCAGGCAAAATTTCGACATATGCCAAAGATTGATATTTTTTGGCTAAACGGTATTGGCTCAGGTTGTGATACTGATTACCGTGTAGCCTATTCTAAAGTCATTATAATCATGATAGGATGCGGGCTTTGTAGGGAGCTTCGTTCTGACCACTAGCAAAACGTGTCTATTGTAAAAACTGCCTACTAAAGTAGTATGCCTTTTTATGATTTATTTTGGTTGCCTTTATAAATTCAAATATATTTTATGGAAAACATGCACAAAAGATATTTCTTGTACTTTTTTGAAAGCAAATTACCCTTTAAATTTCATACTTAAAGAAAGGGTATGTTTCGGTTTTGAAAAAGTTGCTGATTATGAGATTTTTTGAAATTGTGAGGTGTTTATTCGTGATAAATCGTACCCGTCAATTTATTAGTGCCGCCTATACTGCATTAAACATGTTCCACATCTATTGCAGTATTTTCTGACAACTATGTGACTTCTTCCACAAACTATAGTCGAAATCGTACTTTTCCTTAAACAGTATGTACACAGTGCGCAGTTTTTAATCCTTTTATTCGAGTGTAGCAGTCAGTAGGTTAGAAAATTATTCGGTGACTGAGAAACATTTTTTTCGTGCGTGTTTTCCATAAAATATACTTGCATTTATAACGGCAGTCAAAATAAATGATAAAAAGGCATGCTACTTTAGAAGCCAGTTTTTACAAAAGATATGTGTTGTTAGTGGTCACAACGAAGCTCCTTACAAAGCCCACATCCTGTCATGACTAAAATGACTTTAAAATAGGCTACAGGGTAATAAGTATCACAATCTAAGTCAATGCCGATTACCGAAAGAGTATTAATATTTCGCATATCTCGACCGGTTGCGTGATTTTCGGCGCCTACTCTATATATTTCACGAAATATGTAATCCGACAAGAGCGGTTCCATGCGCTTTTCAATAGGGACAAAAGAATTCAAGCGTTTTTAGGGGTGCGCTTGAGGAATACTTTAACCGCGTTTTGTTACAGTGCTAATAACCGCGAGAAATTGATGTGTCGAATAAAAAATTGCTGGTACACGAAGAGGTTGGTTTTTGGACGCTGTGGTTAAGAAGGAAATGTAATGGCTGGCCCACAGGATTTGTACGCGCGGGGATTCATCTTTCCCCCTATGCTCATCATGAGAAATAGCAATACACACTGCGTGTATGACAGGCAAGACGACTCGAGGCGCAGATATTTTACGAGTTTCACCATTCTTGAGAAAATGATGAGGAATCATAGGTGGCGCGTTTATTGTCGGAACTCGATTAGCAATGGTGTTTTGTAAACGTTCCCGCTTGTGTTCCCGGAGTAGATTAAAAAAAAACTTGAGTACAATAAACCCTTTTCTTACTCTTCGTCAGCGGTAGTTGCTCACCACGATACATATATAGATAGAGTGTGAACTAGGGCAATCTCTGTTGAGGATCGTTTAACAATCGTCTGAGGTTTCACTCTTCTGCTTAAGCGCGCCATCGGAGTAAGGTGTTTCGTCTCGGCACCTTCTTTCATTGTTTTCAACCATATCTATGTATATATGTGTTTAAAGTTCTTGCTACATGGCCACCTTCATAAGGACTTCCGGTGTAGACCTCTAGATATCAGTAGAATCAAGGGCTGCCAGACAGTCCGTGCGAGAATGCCACTGTTTGGCATGCGCTGTTTTTTTCGGAACTTTTTGTCCCAATCGTTCGGGTTGTTCACTTGTCTTGCGTTTAATCAGTCTGGGGTGCTGGCGTGCCCCTTTGCCCCCGTGTGGAAGACCGAACGATTGGTTTGTTCCCGCAATGGTGTTTGACAAATAGTCATCGGAGCAGAAAAAGATGAACTACAAAAAAGCAGTCATCAATTTTCATCTTGGGTGCGGCTGAGTTCGAGTGCAGCTAAATTTGGGACCAACGGTATCTTCACGGGGAAAAGACTGCTTTTTTAAATGGATAAGACTGATGTAATGAAGTAATATAAAAACACAAGTTTTTTCGACAGTTGCTATCGGAAGAATTTATTGGTAGAAAAAGCTGTACCTATTGAAATCTGACTACTATTTCGGTCATACTAGACAGTGACTTTATAACTCGTGGGTACTCAGACATAGGCATTTACCTTCTTTAAGCGCGCACACATAATTTTCCAACTTATCATTTATATTTGTGGTTTTGCATACTTTGTGCGTTAGTGAGA